CTGAAAAGGCCCTGTCTCTCATGCCCGCCAAACGTACCTGAGACGAAGGCGGAACCAAGAGCAGGGCCTCTCGAGACAGGGCCTCCCTGCCTAGGGAGATCAGATCTGCACCCTCCCTCCTAACATGTCAAAGGCAAGTTAAAACATGGCTGTTTGAGCAAGCGTTTACAAATGCAGAGTAGCTAATATAGGAAATCGAATTGACTTGACAGTGGAACTGGACAGTGCTTGATAATGAAGAGATGCTAATGATGTTGTTTTTATTGCTTTTGTGGTGTTTTATACTGTTTAATGTTTTCATTGATATTATGTTTTATGATTTGTTGGAAACCGCCTTGAGTCGCCGATTGGCTGAGAAAGGCGGTATACAAATACAGTAAATAAATAAATACATTAAATCCACATTTATCAAATCTGCAATGATATTTTCGTGACATCACTGCATTCTCAGGCTATCGTGGCCTGTATTGCGGCTGTCATATAGTTCAGGATTTCAGTCCAATTTTAGGATTTCTGTCCAATTATTGTTGTGGTTGTTGCAAAGGCTGGGTGGCCATCTCTTGGGGGTGCTGGTGTTTTGTGGTGTGTGCCACATCCCAGTCTCTTGGCTGCTACTGACGAGTGTTTCTCACCCTTTTCCCCGCCAGTCCAGCCATGGAAGCCGAGGAGAGCGCTGTGGAGAGCAGCAGTGACGCGGCCCCCCGTTTGGGGCCCCGGGAGGAGCCCTCGGAGAGCGGCCTGGGCATGGAGGGCTCGGAGGCCGTGTCCGCCGACAGCAGCGATGCAGCCTTGGAAGCTGACCAGTCCGGCATGGGACAGAGTTGGGACCACAGGGGGGCCCCTCTGGTAAGGCCAGGCCCCTTCTGGGCAACCTTTGGAAGGAGGCTGGGCAGTGTGTTGTCCAAGGCTTTCCTGGCCAGAAATACTGGGATGTTGTGTGATTTCCGGGCTATATGGCTGTGTTTTGGCAGCGTTTTCTCCTTGTCGCCTGCATCTGGGCTGGCATCCTCAGAGGATCTGATGCTGGTAAAGCAAGTGATACCTGTTTTATCCAAGCTTGGAAGAAAACGTGGAAGTCTGGAGTCATCTGGTTACAAAGCAGGTTCAATTTTACTTAGAGCAGTTCCAAAACACATCTATTACAGTAAGCGAGCAGACATGAAGTACACAGTACGCAGGACAAAGGAAGTAGACGTGTAAACAATCCTGCAGCTGTTTGGGAGATACCAGACACTCCCTAATTTTCTCACAACTCCACACAGAGAGTGTCTCAGAGTTACTTTCTCACAGCCTCTAATATAAACATACATCCTAGCAATACAATCTTGTGGCAGCCATATATCTTGTTGTT